AAACCTCGTCGAGTACAATTGTAATAATATATTTAAATTATGTTTTCAATAGTAGTTTATTTTCTTTATGTTAGTTTTGAATTATACACTTGTAATTTTATTAAAAATATTCCTATATTTTATTAAATATTGCTTAACTTGATTATTTGTTTTGGTAATTTAAATCGTCATTTTTAAAAAAAAAAAATTACTATTAAAAGTTTGGACACCCTTCATTAAATTCCTGGCTACGCCACTTCCTTTAAGCACCTCAAGATTGGGCTTTGACATTTTACGGGCCAGGTCAGGCTATCCCATTTTTGGTGTGGGCCAGAAAACGGTCGGCCTAACCCCAAAGGACTTTGATTGATGCTACTTCCTTAGTCCTCAACTTGCGAACTTGACGATCTAGAATCTGAACCTAAATCTCCGCATAAGATAAGCTATCCTTGATACCAATATCTTCAGTTGATATGATAAGTGAAGGATCTCCCATGCACCTCTTCAGCATGGGAATGTGAAATACTGGATGAACCGCTTCTAACTCTTATGGTATCTCTAACTCTTAAGCTACCTTTCTAACCCTTTTTGATATCCGGTCAGGATTAATATACCGGGGGCTAAGTTTCCCCTTCTTACCAAATCTCATAACACCCTTCATGGGTGAAGCTTTCAAGTAAACCAATCTACTTTGAACTCTAACTCCCTTCTCCTAACATCAATGTAGGATTTCTGACGACTCAGCGTCGTTTTCGACCTCTTTTGAATGACTTTCATTTTCTCCATAGCTTGATGAACTAAGTCTGGTCCTATCAATCCTGCTTCACCAACTTCAAACCATCCAATAGGAGATCTGCATCTTCTCCCATAAAGAGCCTCATATGGAGCCATTTGGATGCTAGAGTGGTAACTATTGTTGTAAGCAAACTCAATGAGAGGTAGGTGATCACCCCAATTACCCTTGAAATACATCACATAATCTACCTTGATACCTCAAAACACCATCTCCCCTTGTTCAAAAGCCATCACTTTTTTCTTATGAACACTTGCCTTAAATTCAAGCAATAAAGGATCTTGGTCTTGCTTCTCTTTTACTTCTAACACTAATGATAATTCAGCCCCATTCATCACCACTACTCATCCTTCTGTGGAATCCATTAGTCGAATTTCTGGTCGTGCAAGTCTATGCACCTCTTTTGCTAACTCATTCTTATCTTCTTCAAAATGGGCAGTACTACCCATAAACAACCTACTTAAAGCATCATCAACAACATTAGCCTTACCTGGGTGGTAAAGAATACTCATGTCATAATCCTTGAGTAGTTCTAACCCCCTC